GGGAGATGAAAACAGTTTAAAAACCTACTCAGAACTAGGCATGAATTTAAAAAGAAAAGTAAACTACTTTCTTGTATACCATAGTAATTAAGAGCATGAGTTCTAAGCCAGACGATTCATCTGACATCATTTCATCTGACATTTTTACTATAAACATCTTTGGGGTCCACTAACCTTCTTTAAAAAATTGTTTTTAATGTTTATTTATTTTTGAGAGAGAGAGAGAGAGAGAGAGAGAGAGAATACGATCAGGGGAGGGGCAGAGAGAGAGGGAGACACAGAATCCAAAGCAGGTTCCAGGCTCTGAGCTGTCAGCACAGAGTCTGATGTGGGCCTCAAACTCAAGAAACACAAGATCACGACCTGAGCTGAAGTCAGGCACTTAACAGACTGAGCCACCCAGGCTTCCCCAGGGTCCAGTAACCTTCTTAAGTGTGAAATAAGTAGGAATAAAAATAAAACCTTCCTTATGGTATTTTAAGGATTAAATGAGTCAATTTAAGTATATTTAATAGTGGCCTAGGAACTATACGCATGAATATGAGCATCACATACTTTCTGCTCTTTGAGAGCACCCAGTGACTCAGGAAAGAAATATAAAGCAGTGAAAGTTAAATGTTCTAAGGCAGACAAATGGGTGGGTGGATAGATGTAAATAACAGTCCAGGGTTCTAGTCAGTAAGTGAAGAAACAGAAGCCTAAAGTGTTTGTGATTTACTTTTGGTCCCTTGACTAGCAAGACTGGGACTCAGAATATACCTCAGTGAGTCCTCTCCAAGTCAGGTACCGGGGCTCTTTGTCTTCTGCAGTGTTATTTCAGCCTCTATACTTACTAGCTGTGTGAGTTTTGGGAAGTGACTCAGCCTCTCTGAGCCTTGATTTCTGTATCTATAAAACAGAGCTAATCACAGTACCTGTCTCTGGAACTTGCTGTGAGTATTGACTGAGATTATGTGTAGAATGTGCTTTACAGAGTGTCTGGCCCACAGCAAGCATTCGATATACCTGACCTTTTATTACTTGTCATATAAGTATTTTATTTCATTCCAGTACTGCTTGTGGAGAGTAGATGATACACTTGGAGCCACAAAGTCAAGGTTTGTTCTATTTTTGTATACATTTTCTGTTTCTGGGTAGAGTATACAGGACAGAAACAATCAGAAATAATAAATATAGAGAGATAAATATTGCAATTTACAAGGCAGAGCCTTCCCAGAAGAAGTAATTAATTGCAAAATGACGTGACTTGTGTTTTTCCCTCTCTCTTTGAGCTTCCACGAGAGGCTATGCCATGCTTCAAAACACTGCAACATATCAGCTTCAGAAAGGAGAAGAGGGAAAAAAGAAAACAAGATTTCTGGACAATCTGGTCTATATAAAATACCTAAGGCAATTCCTGGCACCAAAGAGGTGTTCAGTGTTAAGTTAAATGGATCTTTCATGTGATTATTGAAAATGTCTTCTATGCCTTCCTCACAAATACTCACTTTCCCCAAACAAACTGGGTTTGTCAACACCAAGGTCGAAACAATGCCACAAGAGAGGAAATTTCTCTGTGTGGGGGAAATTTATGCTCCATCTGCGTGTCATTTGTAATAAAATGTCTAAAAATATATGCCTTGAAATGTGCAAGAGTTACATTTATCAAAACAACATTTCTTTGTTCTTGTTTGAAAGATGATTGTGGACTAAGTGGCAGTGTCGCTAAAAACCAAATAAATTAAGGAACTCTGGGAAGGAAGACTTCCGATGAGAAAATCATGATCCTGGAGCGCCTGGATGGTTCAGTCAGTTAGGCGTCCGACTTCGGCTCAGCTCATGATCCCATGGTTCATGGGTTTGAGCCCCTCGTCGGAGTCTGTGCTGACAGCTCAGAGCCTGGAGCCTGCTTGGGATCCTGTGTCTTCCTCTCTCTCCGCCCCTCCCCTGCTCACATTCTGTCTCTTTCTTTCTCAAAAGTAAATAAACATTAAACAATATTTTTTTAAAAAGAGAGAAAAATCACGATCCAGTCTGAGAGTACTGAGGTAGCATCTGGTGAGGTGTTCCGCTGCTGACTCAGCATGTGTTCACTAAGCCCTTCGGATGCACGCAGCCTGTTCGGGGCCCTCGAGGTAGCCAGTAAACACTGTTCAGGTTCCCACTGGAAAGACAAGGCATGTACTCAGCAGTCAGCCAAATGATACTGTCCAAAGTCAGTAAAACTCCTGTAATGAAGAATCACAGTGTAGCATGTGATTCAGGCCAAATTGAGACCTGAGGTAAGTTCTGTGAGTTCTGAGAAGAAGAAAGCTCTGAGGTCTGCAAGCATCTGGAAGGCTTCATGGAAGAGGTGAGCTCTTGGGCTGAAACTTGGCAGGAGAGGTGTGAAAGAAAGAAGTTGCAGGGGCATAATCAGAGGTTGCTGGTGTATAGGGGGGGTCAGGCAGTGTTGTGTCGGGCACTCAGGAAACCCAGTGGGGCATCTCGAGATACTCCTGTGCTCTGGTCTCAAAACATGACAGCCGGGGGCCCAGACTCCTCAGAGATGAGGCAAGAAGCACCCACCGAAGCTTAAGGGGACTCTACAAGAGAGACTGAGAAAGGAGAGGGTAGGGACCACCGGTGGCCTTAGGACCAAAGGCCGTAGCAGGAGATCAGTTTATTCCACTAACGCTCTTGTAAATTTCCCCCGGAAACTGACTGTCCAGGAAATGCAAGAATCTGACAGAGGAGTGAACTTAAGGTGCCCCCACCAGAGCACCTCCGATCCCTCTCACTGGCTCCTGGCCTCTTCCTGTTCGCTGGAGAGGACCGTGCCTGGGCCCTGGGGCCTCACGCTCCTTCAGGGCAGCCTGTTGCTAATCCGGGGTGACCGTAACGCTCCTTTTTTGTCTTAAGACAAAACCACCACCAGTGTGCGCCTTATACCTATATCTCGCTCTCTGCGAGATCTGGCAGGAGACTGGGGCTTCAGGGAGGCCCTCCCCTGGCTTGGATTCCTCCTCTTCCCTCCTCTGCCTCCTTTCCTCCCCTCCTGGCTTCTTGTGGGAGTCCTTCCTTAACACATCCCTTGCACTGGACTGCTCACTGCAGGGTCTGCTTCCGAAAGGGTGGATTGGATCAGGGTTTCGAGGCGTGGATAAGCAGGCTTAATTGGCCTGTGGGAACTGGACTCTCTTGAGTGCAAAAGGAGGGCATAAGAATTTGGAGACGAGTATCGAAATCCAGGTCCTGCATGGCACCTTGCAGAAATTTAGTGAAGCTAAAGAAACTCATGATTCCTCTTTGCTGTGTATCAGCCGAGACAGCCTGTTACAGGCGCGGTTGGCCACGTTCAGCTGAAACACGACGGAGTCTAAGTTCTGTGAATGCATCTTGCAATTCAGAACCTGACCGTACCAAGTGTAGGTTACGGACACTGCCCGCGTTCCTCACCCATGTCTCCTGAGGACTCAGTGATGTGGGGAACTGCTTCGGGTTGCGAGAACTTGTGGTGTCCTAAGGGCTTCCTCCGGCCAGCTAACACGCTTGGCCTGATGTCGGCTGGGCGGTAAATGCTGCGGCATTAATATCCTCAGAGCAGTTGCCGTGAGAATTGATGCATGAAATATCCCAGATTTCTCAATACTCCCAGTCCTTGACAAGTGTGCTACACTGCCCCCTGGAGGCTGAGGTCCAGTCTCCCACGAGGACATTCTCCTGGCGGCCGCTTCTTGCCTGTCCTTATTCTCCACACCCCTACGGATTTCCTGGGATCTTATTCCAAATCTATTTGCAATAAACCCCGGGTTAGGATCTGCTTCTGGGGGAACCCAAATTAAGACAGGCAGTTTCAACCTCAGAACATTCATATCCCCATGAATATCTTCTGTTGGCATGCAGTTTCTTTAAAAAGGCAATTGACCTGTGGTGCCGCGCTGCAGTTTCGGAGCCCTCTCCTTTGGAAAACGTTTCAGACTCTGCAACTTATGTTTGTGAATATGGTTAGTTAGGATAAAAATTTCTTTTTCCCTTTGGACTCTGGTCTGAATAATCATGAGTGGTATTGCAAGCAGAATGTTTCAGCGGAAGAAAATCAAGGAAATTAAGAAAATCACAATCATTCCCGAAGTGGTGGGGAGCTTTTCTGCCAGTCACTGAATCAGCAAGTAGTTATCAAGTTGTGTTTATGTGCAGGGCACTGTGTGGTGCCAAGATCGTTGTACTTGTAAATTTGATTTGGGGGAATGTATCCCATAGTCATGAAAGCCAGGAGGATATTCATGTCGCTTAACTAAAAAGGAACGAAATGGATTTCGGAATGCAGCTTGCTCAGATACTGTTTCTGGAATCAGTATCTAAGGAGGAATCCCTTCCTGTCTTTGAGTGAAGAAAGGCAGTTCCCAAATACGTCCATATCCAGACTCCTAAGGTGGCTGGTTGCTGGGCGCGAGCATTCATTAGGTTTTGTGAAGTGGGACACATTTTTTATTTTATTTTGTTTTACTTTATTTTATTTTTTAATGTTCATTTATTATGAGAGAGAGAGGAAGAGTGTACACGAGTAGAGGAGGGGCAGAGAGAGGGAGACACAGAATCAGAAGCAGGCTCCAGGCTTCTGGGCTGTCAGCACTGAGCCTGATGTGAGGCTCCAACTCATGAACTGCGAGATCATGACCTGAGCTGAAGTTGGACGCTCAACCGACTGAGCCACCCAGGCACCCCAATGTGACACATTTTTTAAAAATTAAATCATCCTATTTCATATTCTGTCTCAGATATTCTTCAGCTTTTTAAAACTTGCTTTACATAAGCTTGTTTCATTTCCACAACACGATTGTGAGATGCGTTGTGTCATCCCACCATCTTGTACAATTATAATGGTGCATGGTCAGTTCACCCCCTTAATAATTTCACAAGTGTTCACTGCAGGTTTGTGGTGCGCCACAAACTGCCTTCTGGGAACTGGTGCCCGCTCAGTACCGCAGCTCCCCTATCTGCCCTTGCCATTAAAAATCAATAAAGAACGTAGTCTCAACTTTCAGGGAGTTTCTTGTTTATTTGCAGGGACGGGCAAAGAGGAATTTTCCAAATGGTACAGTAAGTGCTATGAAAGAAGAGAGTATGGAATGGAGGGATTCCATCCCATTCAGATTTGGGGAGGCTGAGAGAACAGGTAGGGCCAGGGTGAACCCAGAGTGTGCGTCATCTAAACTTTGTGTATACACGCATTAAGGACTTTGCTAGATGGAGAGAGGGCATCAGGTGCGGAAAGAAAAACACACACAAGCACGTGGGCATGGAGAAGAGCATGGGGTGTTTGGGAACTTCAAATGTTCAATAGAGCCAGGGAGTAGAGTATGCTCAAGGCTGGCAAAAAGAAGGAGGGGAGTCAGAACGTGAAGGGCTGGCACATTCTGCTATGCAGTGTAGACCATTTGGAAAGATAAAAGGGAGAGATTGAAAACTTTTGAACAGAGTAGTAAAAAAATCAATTTTCACTTTAGTTCGCTTTGACTGCTTGGTGGAAACTGAATTGTGGGAGAAAAGTAGGGAAGGCAGGAGACCACTTAGGGGGTAGTGCAGTAGTTTTGAAGCAGTCAGGTGATTTGGCTGGCATCAGTGGAAATGGAGAGATGTGGGTAGAATTGTTAAGAGGGGAAGAGAGGCTACATGTAAAGAGTGCATGTGTGGTGGGGTGGGGGGCATGGAGAGTAAGTATATTCCATGTAGAAGAGCCCACTGGGCTGAGGAAGGAGACATGACTTAGCCCAGCTGCAGGGGTGACTAGAGGTTTCATTTCCTTTGTCGTTACTTCCGCTTGAAACCCTTAGCTACAGGATCTTTGATCACGTGTTGTTACTTCCGCTTGAAACTCTTGGCTACAAGATCTTTGATCACGTGGGACAAAACCCAGCACACTTCCTCGCCTTGGTCTGAATGTGCTGACAAGGCAAAACAGACACTTTCACATCCTGTTCTTTAGCTCATGGTTGATTAACAGAGATTAAAGCTCTCTGCTCTCCGAAGGTAGCGAGCTGGCCATATTTGGGAAAAACAACATTTCTTGTTTTGAAACATAAGGCTCACTTCTGCAGCTTGCAAAGCCACGGTGTAAAACCACCTCATTTGCAAACGTCTATAAAAGTAGAGGTGCTCCAAAGATACTTAGACTGGGGTTGATGCTGCCATTGTGAGAGTCTCCATCATATCAGTCTCCTAACTTGTCTGGTTTTTGTCTTTGACAGTCTGACCCAGGACGGCACCTTGCCTTCAGATTCCCATCTGCTCTAGCCAGGTAATCAGGCCATTTGGAGGCTTTTCTGCTCCATTCCTGGCTGGCAACCCAGGGATCTAAAGGTGAGTCCTGATCCTGGTCCTGTGTCCCAGACTTTTGTCTGTTGGAAGCATGGTAAGAATTTGACTTTGATTTTTTTTGAGTCTTTAGTTAATTTCTGGTGACAAATTTTTTTTTTTTTTTTTTTTTTGGTTTTGTAGTTAGACGAATTGGCTATCTCTGTAAGTGAATTAAATGGTTTATAGGTATTTTGTCTCCATTGAATGAGAGATGACAGAAAATCATGTTTGTTACTCTTTTCTGTTTGTTTATCCATTTTCCCCAATTTTGAATTCAAATTGACTAAGAATTTGTACCCAGTTGGAAGATAAGAGCTCTTTTTACATGAAAAATGAGTTTTGCATTTCTTGGTTTGCCCCTGATGTATGGGCTAAAATATTGGAATAGAAGCTATAAGTTTTCCAGATCTATATGCATGTTTATGTATCTATAGATATGTAGTATTTTCCTATCTCCAGATGGTATTACTAAATTACATTATAAAAAAATTTTTTAAGGGTTTTATTCTAATCAACTTAGAGCTATCTAAGGGCATATGGGACTATTCTTGAAAATTCCAAGATACTGAAAAAATTAAATTTCTAATACTTTCAGTGTGCTCAAAATACATTCTTACAGGCAATAATTCAAATGTTCTAAGAATTTAAGTTTACATAATTTAGGTAACTTTAGCAAATGAGACTAATTTAATAGTATTGGTTTAATAAAAACAGCTAGATCTTCCGAGTTGTCAGCATTAAATATAATACAAACATATATTTTTATTTTATGCAGGCAGGTTTTTCCTCAATTTATGAAGTTTGGCTGATTTAATGTACTATCATTTCAGTTACTATATTTTAAGATTATAAAAAACGTACATTTGTATTAGTCAAATTAAATCATTATTTGGACAAACTTTGCTTCAATGTAATTATATTTTGTAGTATGTCAGCTTGAAGACAGTGTCCAAAATCAATTGGTAGCTTAAGACCTTGGACCGATGCCCAATTGAGTTAATTCATGAATATTCATTAGATACCTAAATCATATCTAAGTGAGATAAAATATTGAAGCATTAATTGCTACGTACAATTTCATTTTATATACTTTTGGCCTTTTACTTTTATATAATACAGAGAGGCTATCTATTTGGGTCTGTTAATGGACATGTTCATTTTTGCCACGTTGAGTAGTTACAGTATAAGGGACATTTATGACTATAAAAATTATGAGACGTTGAGATGTACATTTATAAACTCTGCTAGTCTGCTAGAAAATACTGGTATATGAAAGACAGTTTGTAGTTATTTGCTAGCAAATTCTCCTTCTTTGAGCAAACTTTAGTGAGGCTCCTGTGAGCCTTCTTCTAGACTAGGCTTGACCTTGGCCTGCTGAGCCCCCTTTTAGCAATGAATCCTAAGCCAGTTAATTGACAAGTGCCCCTCCTTTATATCTGATCATCTTTGATATCCGATGATCTTTGATATCTGATCAAGCTCCTCGTGCCCTGCTAGATATCTAAGTCCTTGGCGCCTGCTTTTAGTAAGAATCCTGTTAAGCCAATTTAGCAAGAACCCCCCTACTTTGGTATCTGACCAAGTTCCTCTCAGTAATTTTCTATCCACTCACCCCCTCCCTCGGCTCTTGGCTGAGATCTCCAGCTGTCGGTACTGCATGGGAATAAGACTGAGGTCTATACCAAAGCCTCTCTTCTCTACGGCAGCAGTTCTAGTAAGATCTGCCTCGCTGTTTTAATACATTCCCTGGGAATAACTCTTCTCTTACTCCATCTCCTAGTTTTCTTTATGCAACAGAAGTGGCTGTAGTGAAAACTTAGAATCAATATACGTGAATGAGACTCTTAACAGGAGTAGTAGCAGCAGAAAACTTTGCATGCAAAGCATGCAGGGGGTATTCTGTTAAGGAAAACAAGAGTAGCTTTGTTTTCAAGTAAAATGACTAGTTCCAAAATGAGAGTCAAGTGTATGACAAGACTTGTCTGGATAGAGAAAGTTACAGATGGTTCATGGAAAGGGAATTGTATTTCTTATAGTCAATGCCAGCTAAGGTTTATGAGCTTATTTATAAGATTTTTAATAAGATCGCTAGTACCAAATATGCTGTTTCAAAACTGGCATTTGGTTTTCTCTCTATTAAAATGACATTTCTTCCTGGATTCTGGTTTTCTCTTAATAAGTGCTTGTAAAATATATTTTTCTTTATCTTTAGATAATCTGCCTAGAAACAACTATTCAGGGTCTTATTAGACTTGTTTCCTATACTTTGTATTGACTTTGTCATATCTTTAATTACTTGAGAGAACAAAGTCTTTTCACTTAAAAAGAACTGAAGTTCTTTATAGTCACGTAACTTCTATATCTACTTTTAAATTTATATTGTCATTTTAGTGAACTAGATAACCAGCTATTATTTTTCAGTAATCCACGATCCTATTTAATCAAGTGTTTAAAACTTCTGACTACTTTTTGTATTTTACTTTCCAAAAATAAAATCCTAAATGATATCTTTTGCCAAAGAAACTGTCAAGGAAAAAAAAAGAATTAAATCTGGACCCGAGTAAGAAAAGATATTATTGCAGAGAGACTATGGCAGAGAGAGCCTCAAAGCCTAAGCCAGAGCAGTGTCAGGCAAGGGGAAGGCAAGTGAAGCTTCTGGAAGCAGAGACTCTGGGATAGGTGCCCAGGGAAAGCAGAAGAAGGATGCCATGCTAACAGCTGGTGTGTGGAATTTGCCTCAAAACTTAATGAACTGCCTCAAATATGGTACTCATGGAAAAGTTGAGGCAGGAAAGTTGGTTTGTGCTCGGGCACAAAAACTTGGGAATCTGGGTCTCAGATGAAGTAAACAAGCAAAAGTGCAGAAAATTTGCAGAGCTGGGACCTAGCGGTTCTCAGCAAAGCAGCCTAAACTTGTGTGAGAAGCACAAAGTTTCCTCAGCCTTGTCAGTTCCTCTCTTTGTTCAAGGTGGGCTCTGAGAAACTCCCCATGAACAATTCAAGGAGAAGGAATAACCCAATCAGCAGATGTCTGAGTGAACTAGACCTCAGGGCCACCATATTCTCAGTGAAGTCTCTAGAAGACTAGTTGAATCATTTGTTTGGAGTGCAGGCAGAGGTCAGTTGTCTCAATGTTCTTAAATGGGATGCCTAAAATTAAAAACAAAAAGATAAATGTTAGCATAAATGAATGTATTAAAGAGACAGAAGTCAAACCCTAAGAGTATCCAACCTAGTCAAATTCAGGAGGTCAGTGGATGAAATAGTTTCATTGTGCAGCACTGCTCTCTGAGTCATATCATGCTCTCAACTGTGTTGCCCAGAGCCCGGTAATCTCTCTAGGAGGGCACGCATAACCTGAGCATTTCACCAGACTTTCTTAGTGACCCAGACATCAGCTTGTCTGGGAGCAGTCAGGTTCAAGCATGGACTGCTGCAGTGTTCCTTCAGATCCTGGGGGAAAAGCCCAGTGACAAAGGAACCTAGAGTCCAAATAGGGATCTGGGCAATCATGTTTTAGTTCTCAGTGACTTGAAGTCAGGAAGTAGGGAGAAAAGTTGTACAGATTAATTTGAAAGGTTGTAGCCAGATATTGAAGGAACCTGGAAGAATTGAAAATTTGGTAAGGGCTGACAATCTCTCTAAAGTAAAAGATCCAGATCTGATTTCTAAGCAGGTATCAATGCTAGTTTACCCAAAGTGGGAAAGGAAGCTAATTAAGTGTCTATAAGACAAGATAGAGTTTGCATATCGATCAGCTACCTGCAATTTACAGAGGTGCAAAATAGCTCAAAGGCAATGAATAGGGTCAGAGTCGGGAAAATCCAAAAGAGCATGCTACAGTTTCCCATTGAAACACAAAATGCTCTCTAGAGTCCCTTTCTCCCTCTCCATCAAAGACGATCTCAAAGGAAGATTCTTCTTCTTCACAAAATAAGGTCGGCCTCCTTGGCTGTGGCCTGGCTATTTACATAGATGCAGCAAGAATGCCATGGTACCACCTAGGTCTTATATTGGCTTCGCTGGATGTTTTCATAAAGAGTCTCAGGTTGGACTTTTCAAGGCCTCTTGAGGCTAGGAAGCCAAGCCAAAACTTCACCATCATCTTCCACCTGCCGTACCTAGTGATTTGGTGAGCATTCCTCTCTTCCCTGAGGTCCTCCAAATATCCTAAGCCTCCTGAGTCTGCCAGCAAGTGACCTTCCTTGCTCACCTATCAGGCTGGGGACCCTAGAGAGCCGGTGGCCGGGCCGGCTTTCCCCAGAGGGACTTTGTAAGCATTGGCCCATAAAGGCAACCTTAACTCCTGAAAAGGGTCTGGTCACAAGCGATGAAATGAGCATCCTTCGCAACTGTGACATTACAGGCAGAGCCAGCCTTCATTAACCAATGCTTCCAGTTATGTCCTATGAACCAGGTGGCCAGGCTCTTACTGAATCTATGCAAATAACTACAGTGCCGCAAAAACAGGAATACTCCGTGAGAGTCCCCAGGATTTGGAAGGGTGAGTCAGGGCAGAGAAGAGACATGTTTCCTTTCTGTTTTACAAGAGCACAGTCTACTAAATTGTTAGGAGTGATAGATAGCTTGAGAGGAAAGAGAAAGCGCTTCCTTACATCCAGAAAACAGAACCCGAGAGCACCAGACTGTTGCAAACAAAGCCCGTAATCGTGAATTTTCAGCGCAGTCGGTCCTGTGTAATTAATTCCTGTTCCACTTGATCTTGGGTTAGTAGTCTCATAAATCTGTATTCTCCCCTAGAGTTCTAGAAATCCTGACATAGTCTACCAGGGTGGCCCCAAAGTTATTTAAGCAGTGCCATCAAGAGCCTTACCCAAGAGTACCTGACATAGTAGGCCTCCATAGGTCTCTACGATAATCCTTTCTCATTGAAGACAGAGCACTCAGCCAGTGGGTGATTTGCAAGGGCTCTTCCAGAAGCATCGGACTAAAACATAAAACCACCTGGGGATGACAGAAAACAAAATAGCCATGGTTAGTGCATTTTTGATAGTTGTCAAAGGTGAAAGGTCTGAGCAGAGTTCACTATAAAAATAATACAATAGATAAGGAAATTTGATGGGACACTGAAAAAGTCAGTTCAATAAGTTTTAGACAAAACATGCTAATGTTTAATTAGCATGATTAATCCTGTTTTCAAAGAAGACTGGTTATTATATGTAATTTTTGAAAATGGATGAGCATAAGGATCATAAATAATGGATTTACAAAGGAAAAGATGACAGATACACTATCATAATTCTCAGACATGATATGCCATGAACATAGATCAAGCATGTTGTTAAAATATACCAATAGTCTATCTAGATTATCAAGCAAAAAGTAAACTTATCCTGAATGAGTTTAGGAAGCACACACCTGAGTAAAATAAAAATGTGTTCTGGCAAGGCTGATAACTCAAAAGGCATAACTGTAGTTATTAAACCAACAACATTTTAACTAGTCCCATTTGCCAAAGATTTACCTACGTCATGTGAGCCTGAATTTTAAAAGCATTTTGCTAAGTTTTTATGAGAATATTTTCCCCCTACATCGAACATATTAGAGATTTTATTGTCTTAATTTCTGGGAATTTCAGAAATACTTAAAATTATTAAACTCTTATTTTTATTTCTTAGCCATTCCATAAGGAACTCCTTTAAGGGACTTTAGAATACGATGTGGTCATACCATTTGGAAGTTGGAAAATATTACACGTGCATAAAGCAACATACATACACACACATACCGATAGACACAAATAAAGAGCTTATAGCTTTAAATTTTAATTTCAACAGATAGAGCAGTTCAGATAGAAACATAAAGACTCAAAGCTCACTGGTTCATGTAAGAGAGCTGACTCTAATCCCTGCTTCACTTTTACATTTTTAAGGATTGTGTTTCTGGCAGATGGGGTAAATTAAAGTAACTTGCTCAGTTTAAGAGCTGAAGCAGTTTCCCCGGTATTTGTGGCAGAGCCCCTCAAGATGTACTTTGTCCTGATATGTATCGAATGGAGGCTGTGGACTACGTTTTGGGAGAGCGATGGGGGAGAAACCAGATGGCCATCTGGTGTCTCCAAAGTCCACCTGAGTGGAGAAAACATGCAGCTTATTTCCAATTAGCTTTTTGAGCTGCAGGCTTTTGTTCTTGGGGTCGCTGAGCTCCTCACAGCCCCGACAGTGGTGAGGGACTTAAATATCAGATGTCTACAGGGAGCTGAGGAGCCCGAGTGAGAAAGGGAAGAGCTGGCAAGGTGGATAGCCAGAAGAGGAGGTAGCGGTGTTGAAGAGGGGAGGACAAAGGATTCTAGGGAGCCGAAGAGAAAGTTGAGGATGGAAGAAAGGAGGCAGAAGTTAGGGGAGGATGATGGGAAGGGATGGGTCTTAGAAAACACTGAGGAAGGGAAATGGCCTTTGAAGGAAGCAATGGTCTCTGAAAATGTTTGTGGAAGAGACATTGTTCTGTTTCTTTGTACCAAACAATAAAAGCGGTTCCATTGTTTGGATGAAATCTTGGTGTCATTGGATTCTAGAGCCCTGCTCAGAATAAGTCAGTTGAAAAGATCCTAAGTTACCCAAAGAGGCCACTGGAATTCTGAGGATCTTATTTTAGTGAAGTGTTGTCATTTTGAAGAAATTGGGTGAAGTCACTGTGTATAATGTCCGAATACATCCCCAGAGGGAAGGGGTCTGTGGAACAATGATTAGATTGACAATATCCCGTGATAATGAAAAGAATACCAGCAGGTAGCGTGCTAAGGACTCTACCCAAGGTGTGCTATCCCAGGAGAGAGTCAGGGGCTCTAACTATACTCAGAAAAACCGGAAGAAGGCAGAGAAATAGAAGGAAAAAAAAGACAAAAGTGAAGAATAAAGCCAAGTCTTTACCATGCGACAACAGACACGTGTTTGAAACACTGCACCAGGATTTAGACTCACCGCTGTGGATCCCGACTTCCCCAGCCGGGAAAGGAGCCTGCACCTGATCAGATGGCCTTGACGCCTGGGTGAAGAAAGCAAGGTCCTGTCAGAGTTACAGCATCATCCTTGTGAAAGAAAAAAATCCAATGGATGTTAGTATGAAGGCTTACATTGAGGGGGTTATTGCAATAGGAGAAGAGGAGTGTCATAGTAAGAAGAGGCTCAAAGACTAAGTCAGAAATGTCTCTGGGGAGGGGTGGGCGGGCAGAGCTTTTAAATGCAGAGATGCCTGGGATAGGTAGCTGTGGAGAGTAGGAGGTGGGGGGGGTGATGAAAACTGGTATGGGAGGGGGTTCTTGAAACAGCCTTCATCAAATGTTGTACTAACAAGGAAGTTAAGGCAGGAAGCTTTGGTTTGTGGCTAAGCACATGGGGTTGCACTTGAGAGAAGCAAACAAATTTAAGTGCAGAAAATTTACATGGGGTTGAGGGCTTTGTGATCCTGAAGTTGTGTCAAGCTCAAAGTTTGATTAACCTTGTCAGCACCTAAAATTGTTTTTTGAGATTTTGCAAAAGGTTCCCCCCAAATCACAAAGATTTGTTCTTTCACCTTGTAAAAAGAGAAATGTTGGGAACAATTAGTGTTATTGATATGTTACTAATGATGTGTTACATGGGAAATATTCTCAGATCGGAAGAAATGCTTAGACTTCCCTGGGTTAAATTTGTATGGGTAAAACATTACTAATGTAAATATTTAAACAATTGTATCCTGTGTGGGAAGGTTCTAGGCAATGATCAGTGTTTTTGCTGACCATGATATGTTTCTGTGTATCAGAGTGTTAGTGTTGCTTTGCCTGTAAAACAAAAGCAGTATTATATTAGCATTCATAATTTTAGTTATTTTTAAAAACATAATTTGGTTGCAACTTTGCTTCTTTAATGTGAATTTAGTGTATTTCCTGGCAGTAGTTTTCTACTGGGAATTCACATCATTTATCTATAAAGTTTTATTAATCTACTACTGATGTTTAGAGCCTACTTTAGATGTATTAAATCTATTTACTTGATGATCTTGACGTATTCTTGGTATCTTCTAACTTTGTGCTCGGTTTATACGGCATCTAATGTTTCAGGATTTTTATGTTATACCTGAAAATGTTTTCTCTGTGAAGATTATGTTTATTTGTTGTCATAAATTAGATGTAATCTTTTCTTCAAAAGTAGGCATACATCTTTGTGTTTAAACCTAGATTGTCAAAAACTTTTTTGGATTGACTTTATTTTGTTTTGTGTGCCATGGACACAACCAGATATGCTTGTCAATTGCATGATTCTTATAATGAACTTTTCAGATCATTCTCTTCTGAAAATATCAGTAGGAAGTAACCACAAGACATTTCTAGTCTTTTGTCATTGACAGTCTGTTTGTATGGTTTATTTTACTCCTGATGCTTCCATGAAGACCTGGAATCGGCTATAAGGCAGAATGTTCCATCTTCAACAAAGGATTGTCAAAGAGCCTGCTGAAGATTACGCCAGATACTCCTGGGTTCAGACTTCTGATCGTATTGTTTAAATAACTATGAGATCATACCAGTGGACTGAGTCAGGAGTTCCAGACGTCCAGTCAAGAAGCAGACGTGTTCATGAGATCAAGTGGAACAGGAATTAATTACACAGGACCGACTGCGCTGAAAATTCACGATTACGGGCTTTGTTTGCAACAGTCTGGTGCTCTCGGGTTCTGTTTTCTGGATGTAAGGAAGCGCTTTCTCTTTCCTCTCAAGCTATCTATCACTCCTAACAATTTAGTAGACTGTGCTCTTGTAAAACAGAAAGGAAACATGTCTCTTCTCTGCCCTGACTCACCCTTCCAAATCCTGGGGACTCTCACGGAGTATTCCTGTTTTTGCGGCACTGTAGTTATTTGCATAGATTCAGTAAGAGCCTGGCCACCTGGTTCATAGGACATAACTGGAAGCATTGGTTAATGAAGGCTGGCTCTGCCTGTAATGTCACAGTTGCGAAGGATGCTCATTTCATCGCTTGTGACCAGACCCTTTTCAGGAGTTAAGGTTGCCTTTATGGGCCAATGCTTACAAAGTCCCTCTGGGGAAAGCCGGCCCGGCCACCGGCTCTCTAGGGTCCCCAGCCTGATAGGTGAGCAAGGAAGGTCACTTGCTGGCAGACTCAGGAGGCTTAGGATATTTGGAGGACCTCAGTGAAGAGAGGAATGCTCACCAAATCACTAGGTACGGCAGGTGGAAGATGATGGTGAAGTTTTGGCTTGGCTTCCTAGCCTCAAGAGGCCTTGAAAAGTCCAACCTGAGACTCTTTATGAAAACTTCCAGTGAAGCCAATATAAGACCTAGGTGGTACCATGGCATTCTTGCTGCATCTATGTAAATAGCCAGGCCACAGCCAAGGAGGCCGACCTTATTTTGTGAAGAAGAAGAATCTTCCTTTGAGATCGTCTTTGATGGAGAGGGAGAAAGGGACTCTAGAGAGCATTTTGTGTTTCAATGGGAAACTGTAGCATGCTCTTTTGGATTTTCCCGACTCTGACCCTATTCATTGCCTTTGAGCTATTTTGCACCTCTGTAAATTGCAGGTAGCTGATCGATATGCAAACTTTGTTTTGTCTGGTACCAAGCTTTCTGTTCCCTGTGCAAAAACCCGTTTGATGTTTACTTGTATCTTGGACCACATTATCTCACCTTGCACAACTTGTCAACCCTTAACCAAACTTTCAATTCTTCCAGTTTCCTTCAATATTTGGCTATGAACTAATCTTAGCCTCTAAACAAACCTTCCCATTTTTATGCCTCCTCCTTTACTTGGAGTCACTGAGAACTACAGATTGGCAAGTTTTTACTGGGACTCTAAAATTGCCTTCCCTGATCTTTGCCTCCAAGATCTGAAGAGTCACTGCAAGCTCAAGCCTAAGGACTTTTTATAAGATTAGAAAGATTCATCATCCCAGCTGACCATTCATAGTCCACATCTTTCCCTGCATAAGCTGCTGTTTGGACTACCAAGCAAGTGTGGTGACATTCCCAGGTCATTCATCCTTACTGGAGAACAACCAATGCTGTGGACACCACCAGCAATACAACTGACCACTCATCTTCAAAAGCTTAATGAGCGGTAAGAGACTGAAAATATAAACAATGACCAGACCATATACAAAAATAGAGCTCTGACCCACAGCCTTTATAGCAATTAGTCTAAGAAGTCAAATGCAAATTATTCAAGAGCAGTCCCAATCCAGAACCTGGTCAGTAATTAACAGCTTCTCTCATTTTTGTCCTCTAACTTATATGTTGAACAAATATATTCTAATAAATCATATAGGATGGACCACTTCTAGTTAGTCCTCTAGCTTCTACAACACAACTGCCTCCACTTAGGGTTCACCTAAGCCTTCCCATTTTCCACTCCAGAGCTTTCCATGACTCTACCTGCATTTGAGTTCCTCCCCATCTCCAGTGATGGTAGTAACTCTGTTGCTATAGCAAGCTCTGAATGAACAGCATTTGTTTGTTTTCATCTGAGTGATCTTCATTTCTTACCACAGTATTCTTGGAAGTTGTAACAAGATACAGTTGGTACTGATCATCACCATGGCTTCCGGTCTTAGACCAGAACCTGTTGTGCCTCACTGCTCACTGCTTGTCAAGTCTACAAGGAGGTGGTAAGTCAGCCACAAGCCTGAACTCCACTCTTTGTGTTGAGTTACTTGGTCATTTCTTCTGAGTTTTGTACCCGGGTTTTGTTATTGGTGCCCATTGGTTTGGCATCATTGGTGGAATCAAGCCATTTTTTTCATCCCTTTTTGTTTGCATTTGTGTTACTGCTCTGTGGGGTGCTGTCTAAAGGTGCTATATGTCATAAGGAGAATCATATGCTAGAACACAGGCATATGACTTCTGAGCCTAGTTTTCATGGCGGCCTCACACACTGATGAGTTTGCCATTCTTACCAGAACTGTCCCTTTGGACAAACTTTGTTGTAAGTCGCCCAGTAAAACTGGATGAAGTTCTTTCCATCTCAAGTTTTTGTCCTTAAGGCTTTTTTTTTCCTATATGATTCAGAGAGAGCCTTCTCTCTGATATTCCGCATGCCAGAGAGTATATATTGTCTAGTCTGTGTTTGAAGGTGACCAATCATGAATTTGGGTTTTGAGATATGAGTTGCAGAAACATTTCATTTCTACCAGCATTGGCAGCTCTTATGGGAACATCTAAATCTGAATCGTCTTCTCTTCTGGGAAAACTCTTGTTTCGTATATCCACTCTCGTGACAGTCCTTACTCTTGTACTTATTTTTCCAAATGTCATAATATTCCCAAGTATGACTTAAGCCTTTAGTGGGTACTTGGGGTGCATTCAACTTCAACAAATTTGTTCATTTAAAAAGTTCCTTAGAAAAGAAAGGAATATGATTTCTCAGTACATATGGGCAGCATTTTCTGATTGGTAGGCAGAGGACTCCAAACAAAGTTTAAATAAAAAATTACTTCACTGGAAGTTTCTTTGGCTGAAGCTATGAGGAAATTGACACACTTAAGTAACAACAAACAACAACAAACTTTCTCTAATAAATCCTCTTCTTTCTTGTCCTTCCGCTGCTTCCCTGTATCCTGCTCTCTCTTCTCCCTCTTATCCTTTCAGTCTCTTTCCTTTTTCATCCTTTCCATCTGCTTCCCCTTGTCCAGGCCCTTTCCCCATCTCTCCTAAAACCACCAAAGCCAGTTGCCTCTAAAAATCCATCCTTCCCATGTGTTAGGTCTGCAGGGACCTATAGAATCTAACTTGGCATTCAAGCTCTAATTCTTTTTTTTTTTTAATTTTAATGTTTTATTTATTTCTGAGAGAGAGAGAGAACAGGGGAGAGTCAGAGAGAGAGGGAGACACAGAATCGGAAGCAGGCTCCAGGCTCTGGGCTGGCTGTCAGCACGGAGCCCGATGTGGGGCTCAAACCCACGAACAGTGAGATCATGACCTGAGCCAAGGTTGGACACTTAACCGACTGAGCCACCCAGGCGCCCCAAGCTCTAATTCTTAATTAGAGTTATAAAGATTTCTCTAAACTTAGATAAGACCAGAAAATACTCATAAAACCTTTTTAGAATTCAACTTGTACACATACTGGTTGGAAACTCAGGTGCTTAATTCTGTATGGCGAAAGCTAATTGGACCTACACAGTGAGGGACCTATAAGAACCCCCTTTTCACAATAAGCTTGAGGGCCAAAAAGAAGCTCAAAGTGTAGGGTAAAGTCTCCTGAACATGATACATGAAACATTTTGAATAAGCATTTATTGGATCATAATTCCATGATGCAATAAAAAGTAAAGAAGAAACTATGGGATATTTTTTAGGACAGGCTAGAAGATATCTTCCAAAAACATGTGGGAGTGAAAGATGTTGATTGAACAGTAGTCCTTTTATCTCATTTTGTCAGTGGATCTGAAACTGGGCACTTAATTCAAAGAAAGAAATTAGAATGGGAAATATCCCCTTTATCTGAACTAAAACACCAAACATGACATTTTGAAATGGTTTTAGAATAAAAGTGAGACAAGACTTAAAACAACTTTGGGGCCCTAAAGATCAAACAGCTAAGTAGACCACTTTCCAACCAACCATCTATTGATAAGGACACTTGTAGATATTCTAAAAAAAAAGGGGTGGGGTGGGGAATCACTGGGGAAAAAAAAGTCTCATTTTAACAAAAGAAAAACAAAAGCAAATCCCTCAATTCAGGTCAATACGGAAGGAAAATGCATTCAATAGTCTGGATTACTTTTAAACAAAGTGAATTGTAAATATAGATGGTCAACCTCACTAATTCTTGGTAGATACGGGTACTGCTTTATGTTAAATCGTGCCTCTTTCTCAACATATTCCTCAGAGACAACATAGCCCACAGGAGCAGGGATCTCAAATAATCTGCATCCCTTAGCTGTAATCCTTGTGTCCTTAACTGAAAAAACATTCCTTTTTGCTCTGTGATGCCGCCCTTGCAAAGTTAATAAAGGGATATTTACTTTGCAAATACCCATGAGAGGAGCTTTTTTTTGAAATTCCAGACAACCCCTCTATTCATAATCAAATCACATCTGCTCTGGATATACCTTTGCCTTTTCCATAATACTTAATACACACCTCTGATAAAGATCTTGGCATCATAACCAATACTTTATGAACTTAAAAAAATGCCAACATCAGAACTGGAACAGAATTAGAGAAGAACCTATTAAAATAGGTCGGATAGATTGTACGAAACCATTACCCTAACTTTCCCAATATCCTTTGAAGCCAGACACAAAGGAAGAGCTCAAACTTAGCTTTAAAAACCTTATATTCAAAGATCTTCCGGGGCCTCTGGGTGGCTCAGTCGGTTGCACGGCTGACTTTGGCTCAGGTCATGATCTCACGGCTCGTGAGTTTGAGCCCTGTGTCAGGTTCTGTGGTGACAGCTCAGAGCCTGGAGCCTGCTTCAGATTCTGTGTCTCCCTTTCTCGCTGCCCCTCCCCCACTCATGCATGCTCTCTCTCTCTCTCTCTCTCTCTCTCTCAAAAATAAATTTAAAATTTAAGAAAAAGAAAAAGATCTTCTCATAGTCTATAGTAGCCCTTGTAACACTTTCATTCTGCCCAAAAAAGAAACCAAATGTATGAAGATATAAATTGTTCAAGACTTCAAGACCATCAACAAAATTGTTCTTTTGTTTCTGTGTAGTACGCAGTTCTAATACCATCTAATCTGCCTTCTGCCTTTGGCTTCACTGTAATGGATCTTTGCTTTGCCTTTTTCAGCATGCGTCCAGACCATGCCTTCCACTGAGGAGGACCACGATATCCCTGGGCAGTCATGCCTCAGGGGCGCACTGAAGCCATCTACTACTTTTACCCAGGTCTTTAATCAAGATTTCTAAGATCCAAATTTCCCTTGTGATTCAGTTCTGATATAATATAATATAATATAATATAATATAATATAATATAATAATCTCTTACTTTGTTCAGAGAACAAGGAAGCCTGTGAAAAGGATCATTTACTTACTCTCAGCCTAAGCAGAAAAGGAACATGATGCTTTAAAAGAAAAATTACAAATGTTCTGCAATACAGTCCATTATTTAGGAAATGACCTCTCTAAGAAAGGGAAACACTCTCTTGATAAATTAAAGACTGTCCAAATTTATTCTAGACTTATTTCAAGGTAACAACTGGGAGGATTTCTAGATTTAGCTGGAAATTGCAGGCAGTAGATACCAAACTTTTCTGTGATTGCGACACTTTATAAATTGTCTAAATCGTCAGTGAGAGACTCTGATCTGGGAGCCCAAATACAAATAGGTCTTGTGTACCTAAAGAAGGCCCTTCAATAGCCTCCTTCTTTAGGTATTCCTAACTAGAAAGCTATTTCACTGAATTGTGCATGAACAATTTGAACAAGCCCTTAGAGCTCCAATTCAATTTCACGGGAGTCATAAAAAACCAGTTGCTTAATATTATCTCACCCTTGACCCTATTGTAAAGGCTTTTTCCCTCTTGACTTAAGGTAATCGGTGCCATCACAAAACTTGTCAGTGCTTCTGCTGAACTACTCCTAGGCTCTCTACTTAACCTTATGGTTCCTGGTGCACCACAGACATTGTTATTGGCTGAGAACACACAACACTTTTCAGCCTGCTGATTAACCTCTTAAGATACTCTGTTACTCTCTCCTCTTTACACATTACTCTTCACCCTTGAAACAAGCTGAATCCTGCCACTCTCCTGCTCCTGAAAGAATGGCAACAACATGATTATCTTACTTCAGTGAGGGAGCTATCTGTACCTTGCAGATGCACAATGCATTAAAGATCCATTGAGAAATCTGACCTAATAGTATTTGCTGAGGGATCATGCCTCAACTGAAACTGGAGACTATCAAACCTATTAAAATTCAGATAGATCATACCAAATTACCAGCAGTAATTTAAGAAGATGGTTCTTTAGAATAGAGTCCTCTACCTGAAGTAAAATCAGCACAGGTGGCAAAACTTACTGCCCTTCCTAGAGCTTTTCAACTAGCTATCAGTCTCACAGATAATTCTTGTGAGAAAATTCTGTAAGATGTTTCGTATATATAGATACCAGCAGCTGAGCTGCTTTTGGAGTAGTACAAGACTCTGGGATGCCTTCTTCATAACAAAGGGGTTCTCAGCTCTCCTGGTATCCTCCAAAAAATGGACAACAAGTTATGGAATTTTTAGATGCACTCCTACTTCCTAGAGGGATGCCCACTATAAAGATTGAGGCCCATATAAAAAGAGATAATACAGAAGTTAAAGAAAATGCTGTAGCAGATCATTATGCTAAAATTTCTGCCTTACCCAAAGTTGTGAGCCTACCTAAACCCTCAAAGGATATATCTCTGGAAGGAGTCAAAGAGGCCATTAAAAATATCAACATAGAGCATCCGATTTTGAAAAGGAAGGATCTGGTTGTATCTTTCACTCAGATAATCCCTGGAATGCTCAAGATGGCTGAGTAGTTAAACCAGATAAATTCGAATGGATATTAACTAAATATCTTCATGAAACTACTCATCACAGAACAGACAAATTGATTATTATCTTAACCTTGGTGAGGAAATTTTGAAAGGACAGCTGAGGTTATTTTCAGGTCATGTGTCACCTGTCACCAGCTTAATCCTGGACAATCTATAAAGGGGAGACATAGCAAGGACCTCAATGGGACTTTGAACACCTTCAGATGGATTTTAACTGGCTTCAACTTCTATGAGATTTGGATATGTTTTAGTTACTGTACAATTATATTCAGGATGGGCTTCGGCATTTCTTTGCTGAAAAGCTACAGTCTTATGGTCACTAAAAAGCTGTTTGATTTTGTGTTTTCCACCTGAGGCATCTTGACTTTTATATCAAGTGATCAAGATGCACACTTAACAGACACTCTTGTAAGAAAATTCTGTAAGATGTTTCCCTTACTTATAAACTATTCTGTTCTTATCACCCACAATCATCTGAAAGGGTTGAAAAGACTGATGGAAATCCTTAAATTTAAATTAACAAAACTTTCAGAAATCCTGAGTTCTCTTGGCCAAGGGCACTCTCACTAGCTCTCATGGCTACACAGTTCACTTCCTCAAGGACACATCAATTATCCCCTATGAATTGGTAACTGCAAGATCCACACATTTGGGAATTTAATCTCTGATATTAGACTCCACCCTACTGCATGATGTAATGGCAAAAAATTTACAAGGGGCTTTTGTATTACACCTAGTACTATCATCAGTGGTTCAGGGTACTTCCCCCCAAGCATTTTTCTGAATCACCTCTTTATGATCTTCAACTAGGATATTTGGTCTATTGGAAGAAACATCAGAGGAAATCTGCTGGCTTTGATCTCAATGGAAGGAACTTCATCAGGTACTATTAGCAACAAATACAACAGTGAAATGCCAGGGAGACACTGCTTGGTTTCATGTTTAACAATTAAGGAAGAAATTCAGAATTCCACACAATTACAAGGCTACTCTAATGGGGGAATTTAAATTGAGGATACTCAGAGATCTTGTAGACACAAATGATCTTTGGAAGGAAACAGCTCACCTAATACCTTTGGAACAAGCAGATGGTTTCAGACAATGAATAGTTTCTGCCCAGGGTATTGGACCAAGACCTCTGTCTGATTCCTGTTTTCTCTATCTGCTAATAATAATTATGCTTATTTTCTATAGACCTTTGGTTGTTATTCACATATAAAGGCTTTTTGTCTCCTTCCCACCCTCCCCCACCCTTATATAATGATTAGGCCAGAGCATATTCATTCTAATGCCATCATTGGACTATTTCAAACAGTAGTTACTGCCTTCGGTCTTATTGACAGCTGGATATGCCTTCTATCACTGTATCCCATTATAAAACCTCTGAGCAATTCCAGTCTCACGAAATGAGACTACAAGTAATGGTCTAATGAGACTATAAGGAAGGATATTTCTATTTGCACTTGTGTGGAAAAATGACCTTAAACAAATAAACCTGTGACTTTATCAGTGTCCATGTATGCAAAAGAACCAATTATTACAATCTATCAGTCAGATCCTGTATAATTTTAAACTTTATCTCTCACAGCCTTCTCAGGGCAATGGTCCAAATGTATGCCATCTGGAAGAAATTAATAGGAATCCAAATATGTACCCCAACTGATATAAGGCCTTAGTTTTGACCTTATGCTATGTATAACTCATTATTTCCTAGATCTCATGTGTTCCTACCAAATACCACTTTCTTTGTAACCAGGATTCCTGATTCTGTTTGTTTCAGACTAATATCTTTAAGAACAGTAGTCCAATGCTTGTCGTGGGCAGAAACCCTAATTCTGTAAATCACTGTGGCTAGAAATTCCAACTCAGACATAAGTTCCAAAATGAGGCCACTCTTGATTATTCAGGACACTATCTGTAGGAATTACTGATTCATTGTTCATGATAATATTCCCATCAGTGGGAATCATACAAGTAGGAAAAGGTGTGAGAAACTTCACTAATTTGCATAACTTACTAATGATACCATCGCTTGCTTAGATGGAATACAGATCGTTGTCAACTCATTGGCATGAGTGGCGTGTCCACTCATTGGTGGACTATTGCATTGCTGTGAAGTTCTTTTAAGATAGTCTTGGTGGCATTTGTGCTATTGCTAATAATTCTTACTGTACTTAGATTAACAACATAGTCAGGGTGGAACAGGCTATGCCTTGCTTTAAGGAGAAAGCTATTTGGCTTTCTAAAGTTAGCCCTCATGGCCTATGATATTTTTTCTCTTGACTTGGGTTGGGCATCTGGGATTTGTTTTGAAGAATTTTATAGGGACTGTTCATTGTTTTTGTTTTTTGTCATGTGGCCATTATGGTGAGCTGATGCATTCTATCCAGAGTCTCAAATGTTCTCACACAGGTGCTCTCTCATCAGATGATCCCAATGATGACAAAACGACTGAAAGATCAGGAAGATCTTGCATACAAGTGTCTATGGAGATGACTAACAATCTCTGAGCAGCGAAGATCTGGATCATTAGCTTTCTCTAAATTGGTCAGCTTCTTGCCAGTGAGTTAATGATTGAAATGAGGAACAGGGAGACTGACTATAACAGGGAATGACCAGACTATAAGACTATAAAAATAGAGTTCTGACCCACAACCTCAGTAGCAGTGAGCCTGGCAGGCCAAATCATCATTTCTGCAGGAACTGCCCCAAATGGTCAGGTTTTGGTTAATAACTGCCTGCTTCCCTAAATTTTGTCCCTCACTTCCAATTTAAGACCAACTATAAAAAGCCAGAATGTTCCCCTAATTATATAAGAGAACTAATAGCATGCCCTAACTCTAGTTAGTCTCATTCCAATTTCTTCATTGCCAACAGCGTCTTATCAGAGCATACCTAGTGTTTTCTTCCTTTGCATTTCACTATACAGCTGGCCCACTAAGCTCCCTGCCTTGAGTCTCTGCCAAATGTAAGTGATGGTGGCTGACTTCCTTATGGTAGCCAGCTCTGAATAAACAGTCTTTGCTTGTTCTCATTTGGGCAACCTTCGTTTATCTCCACAGGAGTGCTGTTTAATCAAGACTTTCTTCCACCAGCCTGTTGGAATCCACTAAACCTGTGACTCCCAAGGTTGACTCCTAGTTCTTTGCTTTAGTTTCATCTTTTTAAAAAAATATTTTATGTTTATTTATTTTTGAGAGTGAGAGAGACAGAGCACAAGTGGGGGAGGGGCAGAGAGAGAGGAAGACACAGAATCTGAAGCAGCCTCCAGGTCTGAGCTGTCAACACGGAGCCTGGCATGGGGCTCAAATCCCAAAGACTACAAGATCATGACCTGAGCCAAAGTCGGAGGCCCAACTGACTGAGCCACCCAGGCACCTCATAATTCCATCTTAAAAAAAAAAAGTTTATTTATTTATTTTGAGAGAAAGAGAGTGTGTGCCCTGAAGGGGCAAAGAGAGAGGGAGAGAGAGAGAATCACTAGCAGTTTCCACACCATCAGTGTGGAACCTGATGTGGGGCTTGAACGCATGAACTGTGACATCATGACCTGAGCCAAAATTGAGAGTCAGACACTTACCGACTGAGCCACCCAGTTGCCCTCCATCTTTTTTTTTAAATGTTTGGTTTTTTTTTGATGTTTCAACACATGATTTCTTTTTTTTTGCATTTCCTTTTATTTTTTATTTATTTTTTAATAGTTTATTGTCATGTTGGTTTCTATATAACACCCAGTGCTCATCCCCACAAGTGCCCGCCTCCATGGGGAGGCAAACCATGAGAGACTCTTGAATGCTGAGAACAAACTGAGGACTGATGGGGGTGAGGGGAGGGGAAGGGGGTGATGTTTGCACGTATAGGAGAATTAGGAGGAACTTAACGAAGGACCATGGGGGAGAAAAAGGGGGGAAAATAAATGTTTATTTATTTTGAGAGAGAGGGAAAGAGAGAATGCTAAGCAGGCTCCGCGCTGGCAGCACAAAGACCAAGTTGGGGCTCAAACTCACAAACCAAGAGATCATGACCTGATCCAAAATCAAGAGTCAGACACCTAACTGACTGAGCCATCCAGGTGCCCCAATTCCATCTTTTATATTAATATTTTTTTTTATTTTTCATTTTGTTTCAGATGTCTGGACTTCAAGATTCTAAAACAACTGACCTTCGCTATACCCTCTCAACAGATGGTTCAGCTTATTTTACAGGAACTGCACCAACAAAAGTCCTAGACAGATCCTGCTAGGTTGATTCTGGCCTTTTAGTTGTTTAGTTTGGTTTATTATATCCATTCTTGTTGAACAAAAGGAGGGGTTGACAATTTCGGACTTTATCTGAGCTCTGTATTCCTGGAAAACACTGATGGTTAATAAATCCCCTATCTTTTGTGTTCAGTTTCTTATTGAAAAGAGTCACCACCCTTCTTTACAGAAGACTCCCCGCCCATTCTTTCTCATGACTCCAAGAAGAGTTGTGTGTCTAGCTGTCTACAGAAAATCGATTTTTGACAAAGATGCCGGCACCATACAAAGGAAAAAGAATAATGCTTTCAACAAATGATTCTGAGACAACTGGATATAGTCACATGTAGGAGAATGAAGTTGGATTTTTACCTCACATTATATAAAAAAATAACTCAAAATGGATAAAAAATCTAAGTGTAAGAGCTAAAACTATGAAATTCTTAGAAGAGAACATAGAGGTAAATGTTCATGACATCAGACGTGGCAATGGATTTTTAGATATGACTGCAAACACAAGCAACAAGGCAAAAAACAGATAAACTGAGATTCATTAGAATAAAAATTTTGTGGAGTGCCTGTGTGGCTCAGTCAGTTAAGCATGAGATTTTGGTTCAAGTCGTGATCTCACATTTCATGGATTCGAGCACCATGTCGGGCTCTGTGCTGACAGCTTAGAACCTGGAGCCGGCTTCAGATTTTTCTCCACCTCTCTCTGCCCCTCCCCCACTCATGTTCTGTCTCTCAAAAATGAGTAAAAACATCGCCTGGGTGGCTTAGTCGGTTAAGCCTCCGACTTTCGCTTAGGTCATGATCTCGCAGTTCGTGGGTTCGAGCCCCGCGTTGGGCTCTGTGCTGACTGTCAGCTCGGAGCCTGGAGCCTATTTCAGAGTCTGTGTCTCCCTCGCTCTGACCCTCCCCTGCTCACGCTGTCTCTCTCTCTCTCCTAGAAATAAATAAAAATATTTTTTAAAAAAATGAGTAAAAACGTTAAATAATTAAAAAGTATTAAAAATGTTGTGCTTCAAAAAATACTATCAAGAAAGCCATAAGACCACCTGGAGACTATAGATATATTTGAAAATTGTATATCTGATAAGGAACTTGTATCTAGAATATATAGAATTCTTACATTTGAGTAATAAAAATGACAAATAACCTAATTTAAAAAGGCAAAGGATTTCTCCAAGGAAGACATACAAATGACCGATAAGCATATGAAAATATGCCATAAATCATTAGTCATCAAGTAAATGCAAATCAAGACCACAATGAAATACTACTTCAAACCCATTAGGCTAAATCAAAATGTTAAGTTAATATCAAGTGTTGGCAAGGATGTGGAGAAACCGAAACCCCTCTAGATTGCTAGTGGGAAGGTAAAGTCACTACTGCTTCAGAAAACAATCTCACACTTTCTTCAAATGATTAAATGTAGATTTATATGATCCAGACATTTCACTCCTAGAGATATAGCCAACAGAAATGAAAACATATGTCTGCACAAAATCTTGTACACAAATGTTTACAGCAGCCATATTCATAGTATCCAAAAGGTAGAATCAACCCAATGTCCACCAATTGGATATGGATAAACAAAATATGATACATCCATTCAATGAAATATTATTTGGCCACGAAAAGGAAAGAAGTACTGACATATGTTATAACATGGGCAAATCTTGAGCACATTATGCTAAGTAAAAGATTCCAGTGACAAAAGACCACATATTGTATTATCTGTTTATATGAAATGTCCAGAATAATAAAATGTAAATAGATAGAAAATAGGTTAATTGTTGCTTAGGGCTGGAAAGGTTGGTGGTGGGGAAGGGATGGGAGGTGATAACTAAATCCTATGTGTTTTTTTTTTACTTGAGATGACAAAAATATTCTAAAATTGATTATAGCCATGGTTTCAAATCTATAAATAAAAATAATTGTATTGTACCTTTTAAATGAATGAATTTTATGGTATGTGAATTAGGTCTCAAGAGAGCTGTTAAAACACAAGAAGATAAATGGTCCGTGTTTGCAGAGGTTTAGTAGCCTGTTTCCTGAATATAGGAAGTTGGGAGCCCATTTTGAACTACCTTTGTCCCTTCGGATTCACAGAGCCAGGATTTTCACTAATACGATTCTCTTAAAAATTCTGTGGGTTTTTACGAGGTTGAGGAGAAGTTCACTCTATGCCATGAAATGGCATCCATAATTATATTTGAGTCAGGTCTTCTAATTCTGACTGCCTAAGAGAATGCAGAGGGTCAGCACTTTTATCTTTCTGAGAGCATCTACTAGGCCCACCTTCAGTACTTAAAGATCTGAACAAAGGTGTTCCAGTCACTCATTGCTATACAGAAAACCATCCCAAAACCTAGTGAATTAACACGTTCATGATTTTTTTTTTGAACGTGAATGAGGTATTTATTTATTTATTTATTTTACAAATAGTTTACTGTCAAATTAGTTTCCACATAACACTCGTGCTCATGATCATGATTTTTAATATGTCTGATCATTTTGTGGGTCAGCCTGGAGATTCCCAAGCTGATTCTGCCTGCATTCACATATGTGTTGTTTCAGCTCAAGATGTGGCTCGACTGGAAGGTGCAAAATGACCTCAGTCACACGTTTGACCATTGGTTCTGGCTTTTGGCTGAGAATCTTCAGTTTTCTCTACGTGGCCTCTCATCTGCCAGGAGGCTAGTTCAACAGCCTTAACAGAAGCAGAAGATGCAAGGCCTTTTAAAACTCCACCCCAGAAGTTGCATTTAATCATTTCCGCCACATTCCATTGGTCAGAGCAAGTCGTAGGCAGGTCTAGACTCAAAGAGGATGAAGAAACAGCTTCCGTAATGAGATGGGGGGCAAAGGGAAAGTCACACTGCAACATATCTGTGTGTTACTGAGTTAGGAACATTAAAAAACTTCTGCAGTCCTTACAAGGATTTTGGACTTGATCTTTTCATCCTTGGAGCATCTCTGAAATGTACAAGTAACAGAGAATCATATGATCAGTTTGTGTTTTAGAAAGATGGCTCTGAGAGCAGTGTGCAAGATGAACTGAAGAGAGGAAAGACGGAAGTTAGGCACGGTATATTTAGAAAAATAATGAAATTGTCCACTTGGAGATGAAAAGGGCCTGAAGAGAGATGGAATGAGGAGATAGTTTATGGAAGTTTAAATCTGACTCACTGTTAGGCAAGTGTAAAGATTTTATATAGCATGACAACTCACTATACTATGACTACATGTATATGTGATAAATATATAACCTCTCTAATAATATGTGTGTGTGTGTGTGTGTGTGTGTGTGTGTTATAAAACTACATCAAGTGAAAGGAAGGGAATAATGAGCACAGGGTTTGGGATGATGACTATCTTAAATGAAGGATGTAAACTATTATAAAAGTTTGGATTTGTGATTGGGTAGTAGGCTCATATGTGCTTATTATAGTGCTACAAAAAAAGAAAGCAAAGGGAAATAGATTGTTGTAGACCAAAGGTGTAAGCATAGTGTGAGGCAAGGATTGTTCTTTATATATCTGACCTATGAATGAAAATGACAATGCTAATCTGCTTTGTGGATCGCCAGTAAAATGGATTAGAATGTATTATGTAGCATTCCCCCAACTTGCTTGTTCTGGAATCATTTGTCCACAGATGAAGTGTGGGAGGTGCCAAAGCACTTATTTCACAGATGAGGAAATTGAGTTTATGAGATGTAAAACAAGCCTGCTCTTCTTTCTTATTCTGTTTTCTTTCTCTCTCCGTTTCTTCTTCCTTCCTTCCTTCCTTCCTTCCTTCCTTCCTTCCTTCCTTCCTTCCTTCCTTCCTTTCTTCCCCTCCTCCCTCCCTCCTTCCTTTCTTCTCTCCCTCCTTCCCTCTCTCCATCTCTTTTCTTTCTTTCTTTCTTTCTTTCTTTCTTTCTTTCTTTCTTTCTTTCTTTCTTCTTTCTTTCTTTTTCTTTCTTTCTTTCTTTCATTTACTTATTTTAATTAGCTAATAGCTAGACAATGGCATTCAGCAAATTTGAATATTTTAAAAGGTCCTGAGAATACCATAAAAGAGTACAAGCCATATTCTAGTCTCCAGAGATGTGCTGTTTAGTATGATGGCTATAAGCTACCTGTGGCTTTAAGCACTTGAAATGTGGATGGTATAACAAGTAACTAAATTTCCAATTTTATGTAATTTTAACAATTTTGTTTAACAGTTAAAATATTTTTCCAAAATATAACCATTGTTTCAGTATGACTACATTTCACTTAGTCTTGAAAAGTTCGCATCCAAAGTGATATGTGTTATAAGCATAAAACATACACTGAACCTGGAATATGGTTGGACAAACAGATTTTAGAAGCAGAATAAATTCATGTCCATTCTGTTTTGGACATGTGGAAAAGAGGATTTATTATAAAGAAAGAGTGTAAAATATTGCGTTAATAATCTTTGTATTTATTTACCCGAGTAAATGATAATTTTTAACATGTTAGAATAATTAAAATTTATGATTAAAACTAATCTCACCTTTCTTACTATTTTTAATATGGCTGCCAGGAAAATTAAAATTCCATATATTGCTCTTATTTACTTGTATTTGGCAGCACTCCCCTGGAATCTTTTTATTTCTCAGGCAAAAATACAAAGCACAAACTTTGGGGATTTAAGGTGTTGTTTTTTTTTAAGGTTTATTTATTTTCGAGAGAACGAGCATGGGTGGGGGAGGAGCAGAGAGAGAGAGGGAGACACAGAATCCGAAGCAGGCTCGAGGCTCTGAGCTGTCAGCACAGAGCCCAATGCAGGGCTTGAACCCACAAGCCGCGAGGTCCTGACCTGAGCCAAAATCAGAAGCTTAAACGACTGAGCCACCCAGGCATCCTACAAAGCACAAACTTTGAAAAACAGTACCTACCTGTGACTTCATGAACATCAAAAGAGAAAAATATCCTTCTCTGGCATTCTGACTTTTAAGTTCTTAGCTGTCACTGACTCTCCCTAATGTGGGTGGTCACAGCTCAGGGTCAGCGAGGTCTATTCCCAGCACTGAAGAGAGGCTGTGGAGTAGGAAGTCAGAGGGGTCTGTTTCTCTGTGGCAGTATCATCGAGAAAGACAGCACTCATGACTGATGAGAGGCCGCTG